CTTGCTTCAAGAATTGTGAGTACTTTGTTATTTTTTTAATCTATCATCTATCTCTTTAATCCTTTTTGTTTTAAAAATAACTCCTGCCACACCATTCACCTCTAAATAAATCAGAATGTATCTTTACTATAGATAACTATAGATATTACTGAATATCTATATATGTATGACTACAGTGTAATTACAGTACCTAAAGTAACAATAATTCTTTATCTTAAATTCTTTATCTTAAATGTTTCTACCAAATATATGGTCTAAAAATATTTCAGATTGAAAAAGAATTCAAAGTCTACACATTATATAGTTTGATGCGTCTTTCATTGACATCTTTTCTGCTTATGTCCTTTAATATCTCACCAAAATAATCACCAATATTTTTTATCTACAATAACTATCTGTCAAAACCTGACTTATAGTCCTGGTAAAAGTTCACTATGCAATATTTTCAAGATAAATGACCAATAGATAGATAGCAGAGAAGTCCTTGCGTGAAGTGGGTGCTCAATACTTGGGAACCAGGAAAATACTTACTGTATTGGTTGAAGATATTAAGGGTAAAAAGGATGAACCGTTTTCTGGATTCCACTTGAGAGGTATCATGCAGGAGAGAATGGCCTCTTACCTTTTCCACTGAAAAAACTTGAATCACAAGCCAACAAATTTTCTTGGATGCAGCAAAGAATTGAGGTTTGGAAAAAAAAATTAAAATTTGAAGATAAAGAGTACATGCAGGAAGATAGGAAATGAAAGCTCTTCTTTACTTGACGAAGTCGAACAACAACAGTAAAGACTCACCTAGAATTTAAAAAAATTAAAAATCGGTCAAGTGAATTCTGGATAGTGACATCACAAATATAGACTCTAAATACAGAGACTCACACCACCCTGACTTCTTTCTACAGACCCAATGGAACTCATTGCTTGAAGTGAGCAATATGGTTCCCATAAGATGATTTGCTCTTGCTCCAGGTTGCAGCCTTGTAATTATAAGCAAGTGTCTTCATTTAGGGTGGAGGTAGGTCCTATCCTGCTCTGTTTTTCATGGATGTATTGATATTTCCTTTTTTGGCAGGAGTGGGGGTGGGGGGTAGTGCAAGGGGTTGGGGGTGGGGGAAGAAGGGTACTGTATCTAAATATTTGGTATTTAGTTTGGATTCTGTCGGCCTTATTGCTACTCAATGGTCTGATCTGTCCCCTTTTAGTAGTGGTAGAGATCAAGGCCTCAAGAGGAGTCTGCTTACTTAGAAGACTCTAGTATAAAACCAGAAGATATCCATTCCAACAGATACATAAACACAAGAAATATGAAACAGCCATGCAATATGACTCCTCCACCAGGTTTTAACTCTTCATTTAAAAAAAACCCCAAATACCAGTGACTGAAATGCTGAAAAAAGGACTCAAGAAGTCTAATTTTAAACTGACCAATGACCTCAAGGGAGATACCAATAAACAGATGAATGAAGTAATGAGGTAAAGACAGATTATGAAAAAGAAATGGAAATCTTGGAAATAAAAAGCACACACATATACCATGCGTATACTCTCTCTCTCTCTCTCTCACACACACACACACACACAGTAGAATAGACTAAAGCAGAAGAAAGAATGGGAGTGAACATTATACTTAGATAGCAACAAGGGAAGAAGACAATCATGACCACAATTTTCAACAAGCACTAACCTTAAGCAAAAAAAAAAAAAAAAAACTAAACTAAAGGACAATGCCCAGGCCCTGAGATCAAATCCCCAAACCTGGAAAGAGACAAACAACAACACAGTGAAAGAGTAAAACTAAAAACTAAAAAATTGTTGGTGTAGACAAGGAGTTGAGATCAGACTAACAGTATATAAAATCTAACCAGTGAAATTATTGCAGAAATTTCCCCAAATCTAGGAAATTATATGGCTAGCAAAGTACAGGAGGAATTTAGAAACCCAAGTAGTGACAACCAGAAAAGAGTTCCATGTCATATTATAGTTAAAATGCCAATAGTACAGAAGAAAGAATGGAAGGTTGCAAGAGGAATTTGCCAAGTTATTTACAAAAGCACACCCACTAGAGTAACAGCAGACATCTCTATAGAGTCCCTAAGATACAGGAGATCATGGACTGATACATCCTAAATTCTCAAAGTAAATAATGGCCCAGTTAGACTACCATAGTCTAGTAGTTAGACTACTATAGTTATCCTTTAAAACTGATGGGGAATAGAGACTTTCCAAAATAAGCAAAGTAAATCAATGCATGACTACTAAAACAGTTCTGGAGAGGATGCTTAAAGGAATCCTACACAGAGAAGAGCAAGACAGAAACTCACAGCCACAAGAGTTCATGAAAGAATAAATCCCACTAAAATGACAGATCCTTTTTTATTTTTTTAATTTTTTAAAATTATTTTATTTTTTTGTGAACATACTGAACAGATCCTTTTTTAAAATGAGAATTAAGATCAAACATTATTAACTCAATAATCCAGCAAAATTCAAAGATAAATAGAGGAGAATGAAAAGAATGGAGTAAACAAATCAATCAGGGGATGAGAATAGGAATTAGCTTTGTGCTAATTTAAAATGAATCCTAAATGTAAATGGTCTTCACTCTCCAATTAACAGATGCAGACTGGCTAGTTGGATCCAATTGCTTGTTGTCTACAAGAAATTTGTCTCAACTGGTAAAGACATAGACTAAAAGGACAGAAAATAATATTCCAAGTAAAAAGAATCTCAAAGCAAGCTAGAATAGTTACACTCATCTGATAAAGCAAAATTAATCAGAAGAGATAAGGAAAAATTACTACATACTAATAAATGGAACAACTCTTTAAGAATTACTATAAATATGTCCTTGATGGAGTACTAAAATAATTTTTATGGCGTGTGTGTGTGTGTTGCTGAGAATCCCAGGGCTTTGTACATGAGGCCACTTTTCCTGAGCTCTGAGTAGGTGAAGGAATTGAGCAAGACTACATAAAATTCTGGCTTCATGCTGATATAGAAGGGTTGTCTCCAAGAGAAGCCTTTGTGTGATTGAGCTGAAAACTCAGGTTGTGCATTTTTTATAGAACATCTTTTTTACTTAAAAAAAACACCTGGCAGCAGATGCCAGTGGCCCACACCTGTAATCCTAACTACTCAGGAAGCTAAGATCTAAGGATGACAGTTTGAAGCCAGCCCAGGCAGGAAGGTTCATGAGGCTCCTCTCTCCAATTAGCCACCAAAAAGCCAGAAATGGAGCTGTGACTCAAGTGGCATAGCACTAACCTTTAGCAAAAAAAAAAAAAAAAGCTCAAGAATAGGGCCAAGGCTCTGAGTTTGAAGCCTCAGGACAGGCACAAAGAAAGAAATACACCACAAATGCTTTTCTTTGAAAAGTATCACAATTACAAATCTCAAGACCTATGGAAAAAATTAAAAATGGTAACTATCTTGATAAGAAATGCAAAACAGCTGGGCACTGGTGGCTCATGCCTTTAATCCTGGCTACTCAGGAGGTTAATATCTGAGGATCACAGTTCAAAGCCAGCCTGGGCAGGAAAGTCCATGAGACTCTTATCTCCAATTAACCACCAGGAAACTGGAAGTGGTGCTGTGGCTCAAGTGGTAGAGTGTTTGCCTTGAGCTTAATTGCTCAGGGACAGAGCTCAGGCCCAGAGTTCAAGCCCTATGACCGAAAAAAATAAAAGAAAAAAGAAAAAAAAAGAAATGCAAAACATACATCTCTCATAGTACCAGGAAATGAACCCAGTGCTAGGCAAGTATCTATCATTTGAGCCACCCTACCAGTCCTTCTGTTTTTGATTTTGAGATAAGCTACTTTTTGCCTGAGCTAGCCTCAAATTTTGATCCTTCTGATATGGCCTCTCCCAAGTAGATAGAATAATAGGTGTGTACCACATGTCCATGTTTTGTGTTTTTATAGCATTTAGCTTCTTTGGCAAGAGAAATTGCTTTAAATATTCGTACTTATCATCTCATCATCTCAGTTCAGTTTGAACCTTTCTCAAGTCCTACCTAAAGTAGTATGAATCCAAAATCCCAGATGGGACAGCAATTGATTCTAAAATATTTTGAAGTATATCCTATTATATTCCAGTGATACAGATTCTAACAGTGTCATGTTAAAACTACTAATCATTCAGTACTTCTTGAGGGGCTTAAAACAGTCCATAACAGCATTTGGATCCAGGCTTTCAAATTCAGCCGAATTAAATGGTTAAAATAAATCAAAGAAATTGACTTATTACCAATAAAGCATGAAGTCCATCCCATGCAAAACTGGTTTTTTTAATCAGTCTTCCACATAATACTAGTTTTGCTCCCAAAAAGTCCCTAGTAGAACATGAGCTTTTTTCCTCCACACTCCACTCTACTTCTTGTGAAGCTCTTCCATAAATATTATCACATTATGGAATAAATTTTAATTAATACAACCCAAAGGAAATGAAGGAACATTAACTCCCATTCAAACCTTCCTTAAGAGTGAGTTTCCAAGTTAGATTTTTAACCCCCATATGTTCCTTTTTAGAAGATGAGATGTGCCTGTTGAATTTATTTTTTGGGGGGGGGCCTGGTCGTGGGGCCTCAACTCTGGGCCTGGGCGCTATCCCTCAGCTCTTCAGCTCAAGGCTAGAGCTCTACCACTTGAGCCACAGCACCACTTCCAGCTTTTTCTGTTTATGTGGTGCTGAGGAATCAAACCCAGGGCCTCATTAATGCAAGGCAAGCACTCCACCACCTTCTCAGCCACATTCTCAGCCCCCTGCTGAAGATTTTATTCATGAATCTATAATGGAATTCAGAAATAGCAAAATATAAAAAAATTGATTATCAGCCAAATACATCAAAGATTTAGTGTATTTTTTATATAGCTATAAAAATACCTAAAATGCATTCTTTGCTTTGTGGAACTTGCCATTAAAGCTTCCTTGTATTATTAAATACATATGCAAAAGAAATCAAATGTGACTAATAAAAAATCTCACAGCTAACATTTTGGTAAAGTGCTTTATTTATACTGATAAAAAATTAAAGATTACAAAATTAACTGCTGAACCATCATTTTGAAAATATCAAATTTTTCAGTATTCACTATGTACATCAATCACATTTGTAATTGCCCCATATGAGATTATAAATTATATCTTAAAATCTAATAAAAATATTTTCATTCAGTAGTTGTTTTCTGGAAGTTAAAAATCACAACATTGCTAAATGAAGCTTTTCATGATACAGAAGTGTTACCAGATATAAATTTTCATTGTTTTAAACATGATCTTTGGTTTGAAATTGTCCTGTTATTAGTTGGATGGTTATAATTAGGAAAACCTTCACAAAAGAGCATACTAGTTTTATCTGAACCATACAAGTAAACTGGTCCAATGGTCTAAAGTAACAAATGGCACATCTTATCAAGAAACCTGGTACAAAGAGTTCCCTGAAAGCAATATGTGACATGCTGCATGCTCAAGTAAATTTCACTGCTAAGGAGTAACTCGCTTCCTTTTCATAAATGACCTCTTCCACTTAATTAACAGCATTAGTCAATGAGAGGAAATTTGTCAGGAAAAAACCCTAAGAGAAGGCACAAGGTGCAAATCTTAAACAGATAAATTCAACCAAAGAACATATGCAAGCATGGACCCACGCAAGCACACGGAGCCCTCATGTTTAAGGGCTGAATAGAGTCTGTCCCAGGAAGAACTTTTATGCCTATGAATGAGTGTATGCACCCTAGAGATCAGAATTAATGAAAAGCTGCAAAAGTCATCCTTTTTCCAGAATGAAAGGTATGAAACAAACAGAAAAGGTAACACTGAAAACTATTAAGTCATAAAACTGGTCTTAGAAAGGATATGTTCAATTTCATAACTGTACGTTGCTGATGAGTTCTCTCTCTACTTGGATAATCAAATGCAAATGTCTTTTAGCAATGGCAGCATTCAAATCCCACAAAAAATCAAGCAGTGCCCCCTTAAGTAGCACCTCCATTGGCACAAACTGTAGAACCTGTTGGGGCGCATTAGAGTTAAGCAAGGTGCTCAACAACTCATTCACATTCTGCAGATACTGAAAAACTGGATTTGGAAGATTCTGATAACCAACACATAGCAGAACAGCACAGGTCCTCAGGGGCCCAGAGTGTGTAGGACAAGAAAATGTGACAAATCTAAAACAACTGTGGAGTATAAAGATCAAGCCAGCCATAAATCTTGTTAAACAAGAAAGTATAGGCAAGATCAGACTATCCCCTGTATGAAGCTGCTGTAATGAATGCAGAAGGCAGTCTAAAAACAAATGCTGGTAGGATGGGTCTCCATCATGAAGCAACGAACAGCTGTAAGTCATGAGTTCAGCTGATTCCAAGAGCTGAACATCCAAAGGTACGTGCATTTTGACATCACAGAGAGTTGGTAAACCCACAAGCAGGCACTTTATTTGGTCACTGGGTTCTATAATCTGCTCTTCCTGAAGGCACTTGGTAAGGCTAAGCAACTCAGAAAATATCAGTTCTTCAGAAAAAATGTGACAGGAACAACAATACTGCTGTTTCGGCTTAAACTTGGAATTCACACTCAAAGCTTCTCCTAAGGACTTTTCAATTGCTTCATTAAGAGTCTTTAAAATTTCACCATCACAGAAAGGCGAACACATGACCTTTGGCAGTTTCTTTCCTTCTAAAATATGCCATAAGTGGCACTCAAGGTTAGACACTGTCCCTTCTAAAAGAGAGTTTTGCCCAGGAAGGTACACAGCATGTTCTTCAGCCCAACTATTAAAGTATCCTTTGGCTATTTTATCTTTCCATGAAAGCGTTTCCAGCATCTTCCTTTCATTATAGGTTTTAAAGTATTTGTTCCTTTGCCCAAACCATTTTGTATTTGTACTACAACCAATGTTAGATTTCTTTACTAACCAGTTATTTCTGCAAAGAGGCTTCAGTTGGAATTTTTGCATAAAGTATTGTACAGCACAATTTCTTAAGTTATTCAGTTTTGCTTGTTCCTCTTTGCCCATGCATTCAAATAGACGGATATTCTCAGAAATAGTCTCTAGCTGGTATTTATGAAAAAATGCACAACATTCTTCATGACTTTTAAGAAAAGATTCAGGAATCGCATGATGGGGAAAGAGAGCTTTTCTGGTCATTTCAGTTCCAAAATTCAGCACCATTCTAGATAAGAGAGGATGAATGGCTTCTCTCCCCTTGTAACAGAGACACACGACATAGACTTCTGAGTTTCCTGCCTTGCTAGTAGCAGGTTTGAAAACATGGACTTGTTCAAAGGAACAGTTTAGCAGGTACATCAGGTTTATGGAACAATGTTCAAACAAAGTAAACATCTTTAGGACAAAAGAACCGCCGTTTCCAAGAGTGGTCAGAGCAGTGACAACTTCACAGTAATGCAAAGAAGAAACTAAAGTTTCTTGTTCACCTGGATTTCCTTGGCAATCAAAACTCCCATCTGCGGTGATCAAGTGAATGGTGGCCATGTTGCTTAGGAAATCCTGAAGTCCAGTCAGGTATTTCAGGGTCATGATATCACCAGTGTTATCTGGACCAAAGTACCACCAGTGTAAGGTATTTGCAATAAGCCGGTCATCCATAATCATTATCAGATTGTCATTTGCTTCATGGTATGGATTCAGAGTGTTAGCTACCCAACTCCAATCACAAGGGAAATGATGTGACTTTAAATAGTGATTGAGACTAGCTATAAAAGCTCCAGGAGCCTCACAAAGATGTAGAGAATTCAGTTTTCCGGTATGAAAAGCTTCCTGTGGAATAAGTGGGAAGCTACACAAAATCTCATGGAATTTACACCATGCTTGAGTACAAAGTTCAGCATTCACAGACTTTCGTACATGAGAAATAATTTTTCCTGCTTTGTTAGTGAAAGCAGTGTGCTCGTGCCACTCATCTAGTTTCTTATCACTCAGGAGGTTTTTTACTTCATTTAGGGAATTCTTCAAATCAAGAAATGCATTAAATTCTGTGTGGTCACAGGTGAAAATCTCACTGGGGTCTGGTAACTGCCACTCATTATTAAGTGGCTTGCAGTAAGAAAAGTTCTTGGCAAAAAGTTCAAAAATGTCAGCAACAACATCTGGGCTAAAGGTTTCAGAACTTGATAACTGTTGAACTGGAGGCTTCTTGCACTTACTCATTTTCAAATCGATTGAAAACCTAGGGAAAGAAAATACAAAATAAAATGAGTCAACTTTATTGTAAGTAAATTATCATGCATAAATCTGATCATACTTATAACATCAAATAAAATGGGAAGCTAAGAGCACATTTCTATTATAAAATAAGGCAATATGTACTACAGAATGAATAAAGGCGGGTTTAAATTCCAGCTCTATTACTTACAGTTTAATAAATGGCCTGGGAAAATTACTTTATAGCCTAGGATTCTGTTCTTCTTATCAAATACACTGACATATTGCTTTCTGGAAGAAGAAAGAAAACATAAATAGCATATAAAAATCATATACAAAAGAGTATCAGTAAATGACAGCTCTTAACTTGTCACTGTAACTCAGAACTCAAAAGTTTTCTATCATATGGCCACACACACACACACACACACACACACACACACACACACACACGTGCGCGCGCGCACGCGCGTGCAAATCCCTGGACATGACCCTTAATCAAGCTATAACAAGTGAATCTGAGATGGTTTTAGTTCCCTTCAGGAGAGCATGCTCCACCTGAACAGGTTACTGCCCCTCCTTTGAAGCCTCTTTGCCATCAGCCCCTTATATTACTAGGACTGCTAAACATATCTTCTATCCAGATTTCACTGAGATGTGTATTTTGGTGGTACCAATCAGGTAAACAGGCCATCAAAGTACCATTCATTGCTACAGTTGGGTCTGAAATGTCCCAAAAGGCCTATGTGATAAAGATTTGGTCCCTGGATGGTACTGGCTATTGAGAGGGAGTGGAACCTTTAAGAAGTGGGAACTGTTAGAAAGAAGTTAAGTTACTGGTAGTATGACCTTGAAAGGGATACTGACAACCTGGCCATTTCCTTTCTGCTTCCTGGTGGCCATCAGGTGAACAATTCTCCTCCATATGCACTGTCTCACCACAGGACCATAGGCAATGGCCCAACTGGCCAGAAACTGAAATTATTTTTGTTCTTTCTTCTAACTAGTACGTATTTCCTAATTAATTTCCATGCATGTGCACAATATATTCCAATCAAGCTACTGTCCTCTATCATTCTTTTGTATCCTCTCAATGAACTGTGAGCCAATATAAAGTTTTCCTTCTTTTAAGTTGCATAACTTATACATTTTGTCACAGCAATGGGAAGCTAATACACTCATCAAAAACTGTAGCCTCCTCCTTCTTGATGCTGAAAAATTACCAATAGCTCCTTGTGGCATGTTTCTAAACTAGACTCCCGCCTCTCATGAGAGTTGTCAGACAACTCCATGCTTTTACTATAAAATCTTATTATTTCTTCTTGCCACTAAAACATACTTGAGCTCTAAATGGAAAAAATAACCTTACTGAATACAGCAACTGTCACTCTATGTTTTGTATTATAACACTGCCTAAGAAATAAATAATAGGCCAGGTGCCAGTGGCTCACACGTGTAACCCTAGCTACTCAGGAGACTGAGATCTGAGGATCACGGCTCAAAGCCAGCTTGGGAAGGAAAGTCTGTGAGACTCTTATCTCCAATAAACCACTAGAAAACCGGAAGTGGCACTATGGCTCAAATGGTAGAGTGCTCACCTTGAGCTGCAGAGTGCAGGGACAGCACCCAAGACCAGAGTTCAAGTCTCACAACCAACAAAAAAAAAAAAAAGAAAAGAAAGAAATAAAAAATATTTGTCTCCAGGAGAGGAAAAAGGCTGTAAGAGAAAGAAGCATGGTTTAATGGCATAGTATTGGAAAAGTTCTAAGTTCCAACACATATTCAATGCATTCTATATATTTTTTTAAAAATCTGAATTTGATAAATGTGAAAAAAAACTGACAATAGCCATCCCACAAAAAGCAAATTATAGGATTAAAATGGGGGAAAATGGTGTGCTACCACCATAATAAATACAATAATATCAAATGACTTCATCAGTAATTTAATATTATTCTTCTAGCACAATTTTTTCAACTTTTTTATGTTACATTTACAAGTTCACCTATTCTATCAGTCTATAATCTCCCTGAAGTTAACAGCTATCTTCTTATGTTCACTTCTGACTGCCAAAACATATTTACAAACTGCATGTAGATAGGTTAACAGTCAAAATTGTTTAAAAAAAATACCCATTAAAACACCCATTTCTAACCTTACTGGTAGAAAGTATATTTAGAAAATTTTCTGAAACTGGGGCTGGGGAAGGTGGCTCAGTGGTAGAGCGCTTGCCTTGCATGCCTGAGGCCATGAGTTCGATTCCTCAGCACCACATAAGCAAAAAGAAAAAAGCCAGAAGTGGCGCTGTGGCTCAAGTGGTAGAGCGCTGCCTTGAGCTGAAGAGCTGAGGGACAGTGCCCAGGCCCAGAGTTCAGGCCCCATGACCGGACCCAAAAAAAAAAAAAAAGAAAATTTTCTGAAACTTTTAGAAAATTTTATGCATTCACTGCACCCTAAATAAGGGAAAAGAAAAGCTTATTTTAACAATTTAAACTGTCTTGACTCAGTGCTTGCTGTAAACTATAATCATGTTTATGTCTCAAAATGTCTTCTATTTGGGAAAAGGTCTGGGTTTTAATCATTAAGTTCACATACTAGTTAATGGCTGTAGTTAACCTTACCTGAACTAAATAGGTAATTACCTTCATATGAGGACAATCGAAGGGATTCAAAACTACACTTTGGCTGTGTTGCCACCTAATTTTTATTATTACTCACCCTTACTCATTACCCACCAATCACACAAGCCTTCCTGTGGTTCACTGAAAACATCAGGCACATTCTAAGCCAAAATCCTTTACAGTGGGTGATCCTTCTATCTGAAATGATCTTCCCCAGGTATCTGCATAGCCAGTTCCCTCATCTTCTTCCAATAACTTACTCTGTGAAGCCTACCAGGATATACTTATTTACAATTGCACCTTATACTCCTTTCTTGTGCTTTCTTCTTTCTCAGCACCCATTTCCTTCTAAACTTATCCCTAACTTATTCATACTTCCTGTTTATTGTCCTCCAAACTAGAATATAAGCTCCATAGGGCAGGACTCTAGTTTTATTTACTTACCTATCACCTCCAAGAGGTTTGAGCAGTGCCTACTACACAATAAAGCACTTACTGAATAAATGGCTGGATACCACACTTAGCACAAGAATCAATTATCTGATCATGTTCTGAATAGGTCATAATTATGCCTTTCAACTTCAACACACTTCAAAGCAGGACTTAAAAAAAAAATAAAACAGCTTGTGGCTTACTGGTTGAATGGACCGACTGTTGACAGTCGGTCCCTTTTATTAAGCACTCCACGGAGTGTGGTATCATAATTCTGCTGGGTGGCCCGGTACCTAGTTAGTAGGTACTTTCCTGTCCAAAGCCACAGAGAGGGCATACTCTTGAACAAATCAGTGAGTTTCATACAAAATCCACAAGATCGCAACAAGTCGTTGCCTGTCCAGTTACCATACAGGAGTTTGGTGGTTTCTGCCAACTCCTTCTCCGAGGAACTGGGAAAACGAACGGTGTGAGTGCAGAGCTTACGGTGGCTGGGGGGGGGGGGGGGGCACTTCTCCTAGGGGTGCTAAGGCCCAAGCCCCCCACCCGCCCAGCCCTGGCTCCCAGCCCCCGCCTCTGCCCCGGGCCCTTCGCCCATCACCTCCTCTGAGGCCCAGGACCCCGGCCCGTCGCCCAACCCCTCCTCTGAGGCCCAGGCACCCGGCCAGTCTCCGATTACCTCCGGCCAGGGATACTCAACTCCGGGCAGGCCTCACTTCACCTGCTCCACTCCCACCTTCGCTGCGGGCAGCAGCTTCTTGGGGTGCTCACTCTTTCGGGTTCGCGATGGCCGCCAGCCGCAAAGGGCAAAGGAAGCACACTGAGAAGGGGGAGCCGGACGAGCCGGACCGTCCTCGCGGCGCTGGGACTCTCCTCTCCCCTCCAAGCCGCGCCCCGCAGAACGCCAGCTGACGGCGGCCATAGGACCCAGACACAGCGCGCACGCGCAGTCTAAGCTAGGCTGACGTCAGTACGTCAACGGTACGTACGACCGCTACTTTCCTCACCTTTACTCCGCGAGCTACTGGAACCGGGAAACGCCGACACCTCACCGCATCGCGGTCGCCATGGTAATAGAAGCTGCGCGCGCAGAGGCAGCTTCTTTTAGCCGCGCCTTGGAGAGCTGGAGTGGTTGTGGTGGGCGGAGCCTGCCCGTCTCTAACGCGCTGGCTCCGCCCACTTCGTCCTTGGAGTCAAGTGTTTTTCTAATGCAGCTGGACAGATGGTAGTTCCTATTGGAATAAGACCGGAGCTTCAAAGAGAACGTGAGTTTAAAAGCCAAACTAGGGAGATTGAGAAAACATTGTGAATGCATCTGTCAAGACAAACTTAGAAGACAAAACTTAGAAGAATAAAGATTCCACCAGGCAGTCAAAAACAAAACAAAACAAAAACAAAAAAAGGAAAAAGAATCAAATAGCCAATATCAAAATAAGCAAGAATCAGGTAGCCAATTATTTAGCCTCTTATTAAAACAAAAACAAAAACAGCTGGGGTTAGGGCATGGTGGCACAACCTGTAATCCATCATAGCACTCAGGAGACTGATGGAGGAGGTTTCCAAGTTCAAGGCCAGCCTGGGCTGCATATGGAGACCCTGTCTAAAAAGCAAAAAACAAAAAGGGAACCCAAAAGCCAGGCACCAGTGGCTCATGCCTGTAATCTTAGCTACTCAGGAGGCTGAGATCTGAGGATCGTGGTTGGCAGCCTGGAGGAAATGCTGGAAGCGGTGCAGTGGCTCAAGTGGTAGAGTACGCGCTTTGAGCAAAAGCATTTCAGGGATCACACACAGGCCCAGGGATCACACCCAGGCCCAGAGTTCAAACCCCAGGAACTAAAAGAAAATAGAGGATCTGAAGTGAAAACAAAGTTTTCCTTTTACCTAATTTAGAAGATATTAAAAAGACTGATTATGTCCATTGCTGGTGGGAATTCAGATAAAGACATTCATATGTAGAACAATTACTTTCCAGAAGGTAAAATACTCATGTACTTTCATCCAGCACTGTCAACTCCTGGCAATTTATCCTTAGGAAATCAACAACTGGCACTTGCTTTAGACAGATATTCATCTCCGCACTTTATTTATTTATTTATTTTGGCAGTGCTGATGTTTCAGGTCAGAGCCTCCATGCTTGCTAGGCAGATACTTTTGCCCCTTGAGTTTCTCTGCCAGCCCTCATTTCATCACTTTAGTAGCAATGATAAAAATGTCATTGTATTTCTGTTACTTTGAGTACAGTGAGATATCCAGATTACAAGTATTCAACCACTGTTTTTGGTGGTGCCCTGGCTTGGAATTCAAGACTTCAAGCACTCTTCAATTTGAACCACATCACCAGCCCTTTGTGCTTCAGGTATCTTTCAGATACTGTTGTACTTTTTCACCAGGAACAGGAAGCTTCTCTCTTCTATCCTCCTTCCTTTGCCTCCTGAATAGCTGGAATTGCAGGTGCATCCACTATACCCACCATGTTTGTTAAGATGCAGATCTCATCAACATTTCTCCCATATTAGCCTTGAATCTCCATACTTCCAATATGCCTTCTGGGTAGCAAGAAGTATAGGCATGCACTACCATGCCTGGCTATTCAACCACTTTTGACAGATTTTTCTTGAATATCCTAGAGAAGCTCTCTCCAGTGTTCCCAGACTCCTATCCTCAAGAACCAACCACAGATCTATTTTCCATCACCATTGTTTAGTTCTGTCTATTCTAAAACTTCACATAAAGTTAATCATTAGAGTTTATTCCTGTTGGGTTCTAGCCATTTTCCATTCAGTGTCACTTTTTGAATATTAATCTATGTTGTCTTATATATGTGTACATTCCTTTTTATTATGAAGTGATATATCATTATAAGGATGTGCATGCTTTTGTTAATGTAACCAGTGTGAGTCAAGGTGTGTTTTATGAGTTATGGATATCATTATAATCATGTTTTAAACAACCTTAAAATTAAATTTACACTATAGTTGATATTGTGCTAACCTCATATATATTTTAATCAAAATTTTTGTTATAGACTGAATTGTTTCCTTCCTGCTGCATATACATGTTAAAGCATTATCAGTGTGAGTATATTTGAAAATAGAGCCTTTATGGCAACAATTAAAGTAATCAAAGTAGGGCTCTAATCTGGCAGGACTGGTTTTCTTTTTCTTTTCTGGTTGTGGGGCTTGAACTCAGTGCCTGAGTGCTGTCCCGCAGCTCTTCAGCGCAAGGCTAGCGTTCTACCACTTGGGCTACACTGCCAATTCCAGGACTGGTTTTCTTATAAGAAGAATAGATACCAGAAATCTCTGTCTGCAAACAGAGAGGAACGTTCATCTGAGAACACAGTGAGATGCCAGGAGGAGGGGACTCATCAGAATCTAAGCCTGCCAATCTTGGACTTACTTCTATCCTCTAGAACTGTGAAATAAGGTTCTGCTGTTTAAGTGATTTCTCTTTGTTATTCTCTTCCATATAGAAAGGGACCAAATAGCTTAAAAACATTGTAAGGATTTAAAGGAGAAAGTAGAGTACTATAGTTGGCTCAGAACTTTATGGGGGGGGGGCAACAGGTCCTGTGGTTGACACCTATAATCCCGTCTACTTGATCTGAGTATCCTGGTACAAAGCCAGCCTAGGCAGGAAAGTCCAAAGATTCTTATCTCCAGTTCACTACCAAAATTCCAGAAGTGGAGGAGTTGTGGCTCCAGTAATAGAGTGTCAACCTTGAGTAAAGGGACAGTGCTCAGGCTCAGGTTCAAGCCCCAGTGCTAGTACACATAATGTGCACACATGTGCTTATGCATGCACACACACATACACAATGTTAGAAAAACCAATGTGTAGAATAAAGTACAAGGTATGGCCCATCCTTTGAAAATTAATCACATTATTGTCTATACAAGACATTTTAAAACAAACGACACTGTACAACTAAGTTCTATATTGTGTTATAGGAGTCCAAAGAAGATCCAATTGGTAGGAAAGATATGAGGAAGGATTATGGAAACTGATATTTTAACTTTTATCTTAAAGAGTACTAGCCTAGCACAAGAAAATAACAGGTGTGAAAAAAAACAGACAAGAGGAAGTCTAATATAGATTATACTCAAGGGACAAAAAAAAAACCCCAGTAAGATTAGAAATGCTGTGTAAGTAGTGTCTTAGGCTCCTATAACAAAACCCTCTGAAACATTTCATAAACAACAGAAACTTATTTTCTCACACTTTCAGGGGTGGGTAAGTGCAATATCAGAGCTCTCTTCCTGAGTTTTAGATGGCCATCCTTTTGATTGTTTTCAAGTGACAGAGAGAAAGCAAGCTCTCTGGTCTCTCCTTAGAAAGCCACTAACCCCAGTGTGAGGGCACCACTTTTTTTTTTTTTTTTGGTCCTGGGGCCTGAACTCTGGGCCTGGGCGCTGTCCCTCAGCTCTTCAGCTCAAGGCTAGCGCTCTACCACTTGAGCCACAGCATGACTTCTGGCTTTTTCTGCTTATGTGATGCTGAGGAATCGAACCCAGGGCCTCATGCATGCAAGGCAAGCGCTCTACCACGGAGCCACCTTCCCAGCCCAGGGCCCCACTTTTCTGAAGTCATCTAAGCCTAACTACCTTTCAAAGGCCTCATTTCTATATATCACATTGAAGGTGAGATCTTTGACATGTGGGTTTGATGATGGGGAGACAAAGTTCCACCCACAGCAGGGAGTAAGGAGCCAGGCTCTGGCCCCAAATCCAATGTAACAGGAAATGGTGAAGAGGGAAAGAAATGATTTTTAGTTTAGCTCTTAACAAACTTAGGGAGAGCAGTGAAATAGCCAAATGGAAATTTCCAGAAGGAGGGAATAAAAAAATCAAAGGTGACTAAAGCTCTAGCAGGAAGCACAGTAGCACTCAACCCTGTGAATTTTCAAGGAATTACATCATTATGATTTTCCCTAGGAACCATTATGGTACTTCATTTTGAATTGAAATCAATACTCAAGTTGTTAAAGCCTTAGCCCTGGGGGATACTCACTATTAAGAGCTCACTTGACCTTGTGGCCATAGGGATCGATATGGCTTCGCTTTATCAATGGTGAAGTGCACCCAGATTCTGGCACATGAACTTCACACCTTCTGTCTAGGTGACCTTGGGCAGAGAAAACCTCTTCAAGGTCATATTGCAGATTACTAGGAATGAATGAGTTTGGCACAAGGTCCTACATGTAGCTGATATATGATCAATGTTACTGGCTCCTGAAAATGTCTAATTTTTTTTTCTAGAAGCTAGGGTGCTGAATTCAACTTTTCATGCCGAGTTTTCTTTCTGCTGCTGTTTCTTTTTATAGCCAAGATCCTTAATAGAGCAGAAGAGGAAAAGAGAGAGGAAGGCAAAGAAGACAGAGGGAAAGAAAGACGATGACAGGGGCCAAATGATTTCATATCTGCAGCTGCAAAGATGACAGATGTATCTGTTCCCTGTTGTCCACAATTTGGGTTGGTTTCAAGAGTAGAAATGAGACAGGCTGCGAAATGAAAGAAAGCATGACCAGAACAGTGTAGAATGATAAAGGCAAGTTACAGGACAGTTTTATTTTGCCTTATGTGATGTTTGAAATATAACAAACAATTTTGCATAATGTGCATTGGTACAGGCAGAAAAAAAGTATAAACACATGGGTGAAAAAGATGGTTTCCTGTGGGAAGGCCCAGGGAACTAGGGGAAGGCACAAAGGACCCTATAATGTTTTTATCCTTTCTATGAAGTCCTAAAGCAACAGAAAAGTGTTGATACTTTTTAAATCTAGGTAGGGGGTGCATGAGTGTTACATTTGAATACTTGAAATACCTCCTAAAGTTTTTAAACATATAAAGGAGACTTACATGTTCTCTACCTAATTGTCAAACTGCCATACAGTTTAGAAATCCCTTATTTGCT